GTTTGATTGTTTCTACATAAATGGTATTACTACATATTATACGGCGAATGATTCAGCGAAAATCGTAAAATATTTAAAAGGCCTGTTACCTAAAATTATATGGCCGTTTCCTAGGTCGTCCTTATAATATGTGACCTTATTCTATTTCGTATAAAACAACAACCATGGGACTGTTTTAATTCTGTTGTATAAACATTTTTTTTAAACCAAATGAAAAAATAGTATGTTTTTGTAAAAATTAGGCGATCTTAACTTAGCCATGTGTTTTTTAATAGTTTAATTATAAACAATTACGACGTTTTTAACCGGACGTCACGGTTTAAAACGGACCTATATTAGTGTTTGAATTCCCGAGAACAAAAGCGAAACCATGCCAGGGTTCTCATTAAAACACGAATGACAGCACTGGCCGAAAATAACGCATCTTCTCACCCATTCACGACCCCACGAGACCTATGATAAGCGGGATAAGATGTACGAGATATTAGACGGCGGTCTTGAAAAACCCTTCAAACAGCATGTTTTGGCCGTCAATTTTAACATTTTTTCCATATATTAAAATATTAAGACAAGAAATTGGAAAGATTTCAGTTGTTGATTTTTGCACTGAAGGTTCAGCACCACAGGATTATTAGGCACAATTAAACAAGATTTTCTTACCAAGACATTTCATTGTTTTATGAAAAACAATAGTAAACATTTGATTATGTATGACACTAGAAATTTTCTCTGGGTCATTTTGTGCGTGACCTTTGACTTAGTTTTTGGTTCGTTTAGTTAATAATTACAGTTAGTCAATAATAAATTACTCATTTAGGCAAAATATTTCTTTTTACTCCTAGATTTTTCTCGTATTTAAGTGCAAAGGAAAAACTAATATTATCTTGTATAAACTAGTATTATCTCTTATTGAAATTTGTAGACGGTAGATTATGATCGCACTGCTTGGGCCATTTGAATCGCCCCCTTCTCTAGAATAAAATTAGCAAAAAGAAAATGTGTATGTCTGTGTAAAAAATATTTATTTTCGAAATTTTTGATTAAAATAAAAGAAGTTATAAGTTTTGGGTTCAAATCCCGGATTTTTATGTGGAAATCATTTGGGAAAAAGTATTGTACAGAGTTTGAACGATTAGTTTGACGTTAAGCCCTCCTCTATGTATGTCCTTCGGGTTATACAAATTTTGATTAATTTAATTGGTGTTTTTACATCCGTCTCGAGTTTAAAAACAAAAACCCTCAGCTCACCCCACGACATATCGCTCCATCAGTATGCTACCAATACTTAGCAAAATTCATAAAAAACCTCTTAAACCTCTATAGCCCACCTTTAAAAGCTTCATTCCATCAACTTGGGTTCGAGAAACATCACTACTATTAAGGAAGGAATGCTGCTCGAGTGGTTTCTTAAACCTGAGGCGAGCCTTCGCTGGAGTATGGCCTCGGGCCTGCTCTGGATACTCAAGGGCATCTTGCCATTCACCTACTACCTCATTCTAACTACATTCAAGTAAGAATCGGAACATCCTTCTTCGACATCTACTACGCTGAAGCGGTTATTCCGCAAGGCAGCATCCTTAGTCCTATTCTCTTTATATAAACTGCAGACATTCCTACCAATCCCGACACAGTATTTAGACGAAACCGCCATCTTTTCAGCAACCCCTGACCCAGCAGTGGACTTCAGAAACCTTCAGTACCATCTGTTGTTTAAGAATCACGCGAGGTTCAGACTCCAGAAATCCCAGATAACTTTCATCCAATCTACTACAGATCTGTATATCTCCTAGCTATCAATTCCGTCGCTTGTGGGATTTTACACCGACAAATTACTTACTTGAATACCCATACTCGACTCGACACAATAAAACAGAACAGACGATATAAAGGAATCAAAAGATTACTTCACAACTATTAGTAACTTTCACTATAAAATCCTTAATAAAATACCTTATTTACATATCATTACGTCTACTAATCTGGGCTTACGGAATCGAAGCGTTCCAACCTCCAAAGAATCTGTCACTGCAATTCAAAATCACCATGTACAACAGTTCCACATTGTACTGATAATAACAAAAATAATACAATGAAATAAACTGTTTATATATAGTTAGTTTTGTCTTTTTTCGTCAGACTTTAAAACCTATTACCACAAAACACCTATTATAATACACAAAATTACAAATTATAAAGGTATTTTGTCGTATGGTTAAAGTCTGAAACGGAGCAAAAAGATCGCGCTCGCTTGTCCGAGGATAGGGATAGGATTGACACACGGACACCTGTTTATGAGCAAAGCCAGCGCACGTGTCCTGCTTGTAGAAAATGGTCGCTCAGTGTGTCAATTATGTCGAGGGATGCCAGGCCTTGCCCCCTTACAGGGAGTGAGTAGGCATGGCCCCGATTTAAAGGAAGTACTACCCATACTTCCCCTGAGTAAATTTTTAAGGCAAACTGTAGTGTTCCCCATCGTTAATCTATAACTATTGTATATATTTTGTAGTTGATCAGTTTGTACGAATATATATAGATGTGCGTTGTGAATGTAGTGAGACATCTGTTGGCGGAATGTCGAATAAAAACATCAGTATTTTGATAATTTGGCTAAATTAAAAAAAATGTTGACTATTTGCACGGGAGCCATGATTACCGTTTATTTATTTTCTTCTTAATCTGTTTATTTTTCTACCTTGTAGAAAGTGGAAGATATCATTTTTAAACTCGTTAAGGCGTATTTGTCGTAATACTCAAAAATGAATTTTTTTTCCTGATTTATAAACGTTAGAATATTATGGATATTAACGTGTTTTTGACACTTAACTATGCTTTTCGTAGTGTACTTATGAAAATTTTAATTTGCATACGAAGAACATCTGATAAAACTGCAACAAATGGAGTAAAACTGGTTTGCCATGATAGATTACACATTGTCTATTAATAAACCGTTCATTATCTAATAACATTGGCATAACGCATGGCCCGCATCCGACGTAAATATAAATTTAGTAATAATCTCTCTTCACCAATCCAGAATGAGATAAATACGTTGGCCCTCCGTGACCAATTGAGCCATTAAACCCCTTGACGTTTATTTAGAGCCAATTGAAGTTTCGATCCCTTTAATTCAATATTTTCGAATCTTATTATCAAGTCGGGAGTCTACTCTTGGAACTGAAAGACAATACAGAATGTTTAAGTAGTTTTTTAAGTTGTAAGCTCACCTAGGTGGGCCACGAAAAGATAATTTTGCCTATCTCTTGGCAGGTATTTTTTTGTCGGATGGACTTATCGCTCTATGGAAGATAAGAAAACATGAAAAGTCAATTTACTTATTTCCAATATCTCAAATGATGGTTTTAAAAACTTAAAAATTGTCAGAATCATAAGATATATTTTCAATATTTCTTCTATCTATAGGTTTTTTTTAAAACATTGCCTATAATGACCAGTTTGACTAACTTCTTATCATCTGGTTATTATTGGCTGACGAGTTTAGGGAAGACGTCACGTTCTGTGTTTTTGTTGGACTGTTCGCCCCTGTCCATTAATGATAACCATGTCAGGATTTAATCGGCAGATTTAAAAACAAACAAGAGAGTGGTGAACTCGCCAAAAGAAATCTCAAATGCACAACTAGTTTAAACAGAATCTGACATCTGTTCAGGAATCAGATAAGATCAAGATGAAAAATTCAAACCAGGTTTCACCTAATTTGAGAAAAAAAATAAACGAGAAACCAAATCGGAAAATCACATGCGTTAATAACCACCATCCATAGCTACTTTCTCGCCTAGCATGAACCAAAGCAAATTCTCAAGATGTTTACCCAAGCTTCATAGGTTTTGGTCAGTTTAATAATAGAAAGTTGAATTTCATCGAAAGCATGGTATTTGGAAAGCGTTTTCGAAGGAAAAACTCCCTTGGAGTCGACTGATCCGTGACAGTGCTAATACACCATGAATTTGACGACTAATTAAAATGTTCTATCGTCCTTGGGTATTAAAAACAATATTGAATCTTAAATAATTTTTAAAATTTGTTCATGGGGTATTTGTATTTCATGTTAGTTGATAAAAAAGGCGGATTATGGTACATCCTCCATCACATCCTCCCGCCTTTATGGGCTCTGATGGCGGACTCATCGCCACCATACACAGCATCCACCATACTCGACCACATCACTTCCATCTCCACCTTCATGGGGTCTAACTCACCCCTAAATTCACCTCCACCAATTCACCCGTCCCACACATTCTCACTTTTTCCCTGTACCCTTCAACCGAGATGCACTAAAATAGTCGTCAGTTAAATATTAAGGTTGAAAAAATCCAACTAAACTCAAAAGAACAGATTTTCTATAAAACTTTTACTTTTTATTAAATGCAACTTAAAAAAATACATTTAAAGAAAATTAATATATTTGTCTTTTTAATTTTTACTCGTTTGTCTTGGTACATTTTGATAAAAACTACCTCTCTTAAGGCTTGGAAGTTACAATACACCATGACAAATAATAATTATACGTAAATAAATATAAAAATACAATTAATTCGTGATTGCAGCGAATACTCTACGGTAAATTTTTATTAATACGACATATAATAAACGAAAGAATTTATGAAATTATAAAAGTTGCTGGGGATAGTCGGGTAAAGAGAAATCTGAAGCCGTTTACCACCGTGCTATTAAGTACGAAACATAATATATAAAAGTAATAAATTTCCGATGAGAAAATAAAACACAGCAAACCATCAAATATTGATTTAAAAAAGCCGTACTTGTTGATCAAGTACAAAGAGATTCAGTTAAGAAATAGATTGAATAATTTATATAAACCGGGATCTCGGCAATCATAAAAAACGCAGAAAAAAAAATAAATAAAGATTATTACTGATCTTGATGTTCGCTTCAATTTCCATATAGAGCACATAATCAGATCCGTGGATTATCCCAATACTTTATCAATTATTTCCCAAGTCGTGTGTTTCACATTGGGGAAATACAGAAACAGCTCGAGAGATTTAAAAGCCACGAGGAGTCTAGCTTGTATCACAGTCTTATCTGAATCTCCAACAAAGCCGATTCGTAAGTAAAAATATGTCTAATGCTTCATAAAATTTGCTTAGTGACAAACTGCATTTTTGTAAGCTCTTACTTAAGAGAATGCCGCTTATTTCCAAAGTTTGTTAAAGAGTAATTTCAATAAATCAAAAATTATGTAATTTATTTTTGAGTCTAGCATAGATTTTATTTTTACTATCTTACTACATAAATGTGTGGTGATTAGTGACCGTTAATCGATAATTATTAAATCGTGAGATGCGGTCTGGTGTAACACACCAGATTCACACCAGACCGCATCTCACGATTTCTGAATAATTACTACATAAAGTAATTTTAATTAATATAATAATATTCAACTAGTTCACAAGCCTAACATGAATTTTCTGTAAATTAAAATTTAAACACACAGTGTGAAATTTAATGTATTTATTTTTTCCAGGCCATGAAACTCACTTTGCTGTTCCTCTTGGTCTGCTTGTTCTTAGCAGCATTTGCAACTGCACAGAAAAACAACAGGCCAAAAACAACCATTGAAATTTCACACCAAAGAGATAAAAGTCCCTACGGGAAAGAAACTCGGCAGACCTTTAAAATCAACCAAGATGCATGGGTGAGCAAAAATGGGAATTGGCGTGCTGGTGGCTACGTTCAGCACGACAGGACGAAATTTAATGGGCACCGGATGAAAGATACCCATGGTGGTATTCAAATCACTGGAAGATTCTGAATCTTTTAAATTTAATGTCTACTTTTTATACTCAATAAAATTTTTTACTTAAATATATTTATTTCTCCTCTTTTGAATTTATAAGATAAATTTATTCCTTTTAAAATAATAATATACATTATTTAGATTTTATTCAAACTACATTGGTATTTATTGAAATATAAATTCTTCAATAACATATAAAGATCACTGTCGATAGGTGCACCTCGGAGGACCAGACCATAGAACAAGGGTCATCATCAACTGATTAAGGATAGACCTGTGAGGTTGACACACACAGACACTTATTTTTCTGTCAAAGCCCGTGTATATGTCCGGCATGTATAGAGAAAGGTTGCTCGATGTGTCCCACCTAATTGAAAGGTGCAATTCTTTGGCTCCATATAGGAATGCCATGTTTTACTGTATATGTTGCTCATATTGCGAACTCATTTGTGTACCCTAGTAATGAGTTAAGAGTGAATATAACGTGTGAAAGGGTCGTTGACGTAATATTGAGTACTCCATCGACCCTTAATTAAGTTAGTTGTAAAGTGAAGGGTGATGGAGGAATATCTACCACCATAACTGGGTGAATGGTATGTAAATAAGCAGGAATGTATTGAAGAGTGTGAATTGGTTTGAATTATTTTTTTAGTTTTTTATATTTGAGAGTAGTCCTCTATGCCAAACGAGATCGAAAGCCTTCTTTACAACAATGAATATCCGTAGCATACTACCATAGGTATCCAATATTTATTAATTTATTCGAAGCATTTTTGGTTTTTGTAACTTTTTCAATATTTAATCTTGTTTGATAACGTCCTTTACATTATTGTCTTATCCCGTATAAAAATAAAAATAAACTGATAAAAAATTTATAATCTCATCATAGTACATGCACAACGAAGGAGGAAAACTATATTTTATGAAAAATTTAAATTTTTTTTTCGAAAAACCTGCTGATAAAAAGCTCGGAAACGTGCCTAATATTTTTCCACCAAGTATCACCAAAAAATGTTCGATTAAAATCAGTGATCCCAACTCCGTAACTTTCGCTTGTTAGCTTCTTTCTGGACGAGCCATTAAAGAAAAATTAAACTCAACTGTTTGAAGAACAGGATGAAAAGGAAACACAATCTATAATTAGGGCCCATTAAGGGAGTGGTTTTGGCAAACACGGCAGCCAATTTAGCCAACGTTCATAAGCAAACAATTCCCTGTAATTTCATACTCTTAAACCAGCACTGTGTATAAAGACACGCACGTTTTAAGTAAAAGCATAAGAGTAATGATAAAAGAAAGAAAAAACATATCATCTACTGATTTATTTTTACAGTTTACAGAATAATCTCGTCTCATAAATTTATTTCTTTACAAATGTTTTCTTATCGATATCTGAATTTAATTTATAACGACTTTTAATGGTCGTTTTCAGTAGTATTACATTATGGTTACCTCTTTTTCTGCACGTCAGTATTGCTTTAAAAACGAATACTCTTAGATTTTTATCACTGGTGAAACTGGCACAAATGTTTAACTACGACTAACAACAAAGTTACACTAAATAACTTAATTATTTAATATAATAATATAATTATTTTCTTCCGAATAATCTCATGAATAATCTACATCTTGGTATGGTTTTGATGTAACAAAAAATCCATTGCTACGGCCAAGCTTAACCTACTCGTAATGGCATAAAACAGGCCTATGTAAATAAATTAGAACCGGAGATATAAAACATACACAACAAAGGCAAAAAATCACATATTTAATTAAAAATTACTTAAGTTATCTTTTTTCTCTCCGCTCCTCCTCCATGAATGTAATAAGGATCTAAAATCTTGAAAATTCTTTCAAAGATACGAAAAGAATTCATATTCGGGAGAGTAACCATCCCTAACCATTTTGTGACCGAGGTATCTATCGTAGGTTACAATATTTTTTTATCAAAACATAAATTCGATATTAGTTTTTTATTCCCCCAAAACCGATTAATACCAATTTTGGGGAAAATTAATAAGTTCTTCGATTTTTTTTTAATTCACAAAACTGGTAATATCGTTGAATCAAGTACACGGATCTACCAAAAATTATAAAATAGTTCAAAACCTAATAACCTACACCTAATGACATAAAACAGGCCTATGTAAATAAATTAGAACCAAAAATATAAAATAAAACGATTGAGGTGTTTTTTTGTTTTTTTTTTTCATTTCATCCTTATTTTGCTCCCTTATAATGACCTATACTCTAAAGGTTGTTGTTATAGCTTTCTAACAATTGGACTAACTTTAAATTTCACAGATGTTATGAACTTTTAAGCGGAACACCGTATGTCGGAAAAAATTTGTCACCGGCTGATCCAGTCCAAAAATATCTATTTTGTGTTTGCCATCATGTTTAAGAGTTTTCAAGAGTGCTTAAAACGAATCCGAATTGTTTTTTTGTTTCTTTGAAAAACAATTTTTTTGATCTACTTTACTAACAGTCTTTTCGTTTTTGTAATAGTTTTGTATATCTAATTTCATTTAATATTATCCGGCCTATTATTTTTTTATCATAGGTGTTTTATAATAACTTGGAAATATATGCACAGTTCAAAATTGGATATATGAAAACAACGGGAAGACTTCGCACAGCTTTACGCAATTTGCAATCTTTTTACATATTCATGTACACGACTGAAAAATTTCCAGGCTTTCAACTTGTTGTTATTTTCATGATAAATGTTCAATTGTGGCGGAAGTCAGGACTGTAATTTATCCGAAACGGAAATATATTTAGTGTTAGACGGTTTGAAAAGAGCTAGACAGAAAACAAACAGAAACAAACAGACGTCACTATCCTCTCAAGACGTCAGCCGTGGCCTAAATGCAGAATTTCCTGAAATCGAGCAAGCCGAATTTGTAAAATAGTTCGCTCAATTTATCCAGCATAAAAGACATTAAAAATGTTGATCTAATGAGTATACATTTTCTCCTGGCTATTTCCAAATAAGATTAATTGGATATTTTTATATTTGCGACTATCACCAAATGGATCAATATTCAAATATAAATATCGGCCTACTAGCAGCTCGTTCACTAGCAACTAAGATGACACAAGGTTATTTTTATTTGGTTTAACCCGGGTAAACCAGTAGTTTAATGTTTTGTCTTCATGTAAATTAAGTTTTAAAAAGTTCTTTGTTTGTATGGAAACAAGTGGGCAATGAATCTGCTTTTCATGACTATTTTGAAACAAAAACTCCCCTTTTGCTTGATCAAATTAAACGAGTTAACTTCTCGGTGTCTATAACCGCAATCTTAGATCTCTCATGACTAACCCTAATGTTTCATCATTTTAATGAAAGCCTACTCTTCCATTGCCCCGAAATTCATTGAAAAACTTTTGGGTCGTGTAACTTAATTATTTTAAATTATGGTGTAAGTACTGATTTCGCGTTCCTACCGCTCGAACGCCATCATTTTTAATACTTCATCGCAAAGACTATTTTAATACTCAAATCTAAAATAGAAGCGCCTTAATTAGTTAATGCTTCATTAAGAATTAAAGTAATTAATATGCTGCTAAAGTTTTTGTGTTTTTAAATAGGCTCTTGATACTGTGACGAAATGAAGCTACTGAAATTTTGCAAATTAAACTGTAAAAATAGGTCTACCCATTACCTTTAATATAATTTTCGAAAACTATTAATTGGAGAAACTTTCTCAAAATTATTAAATAAAGTTTAGCTTTATTGACCAGTAAAGCATAGGCAAAATTCGGCAAAAATAATTTTTATATAGTTGCTGTTTTGTTCAAAAGAGGTTGGTGTCTTACATAAAATGGTTCAATTGGTCGCATTAGACGTTTCTTAACATAATCCAAAACAAGTACTCCAACAGGACAATATTAGCTATAAGCACATCAGAGTTGATAAAAATTCATCACAACAAGTACTGAAATTTTGTATCATTATATGAATCACATTTTATCCGTCTTGTTATAACAAATAATAATTATTATCGACGTTGGATTTTGTTAAATCTAAATATCCGATGGTCGATCGAACTAGACTGAACGCATCGATTGGACAAGCGAATTGAAACCTTATTTACCTACAAAAATAACTGTATGCATCGTTAAGCATAAATAATCGACGTGTTGCTATAGCTGTTCTAAATAGGCGGTTAGAATGATCAATGTTAAAATGATCACATTATAGGTCTGATGAGGTAACTACTTTTTCCGAATCAATTTGGGTGAAACTTGTTAATATTTGATCTCCAGCTACCAGTATGCCTAAAATAGAACTGAAGTTGATTTTGAAAGCTCGAAACAGAGACAACGCTTGATTTCGAAATAAACGAATCTGCTGAAGGGCACGAATTGGCTGGATGAATCACGCTACCTCACTTGGCTTGAAGATTGAAATTATGTAATGTGTGTAAATGGTCAACCATTTTCTGGTTAATTCTCTTTCTCAATGTTGGAATCAATTAATACATCTCTCTCTCTCTCTCTCACTCTCTCTCTCTCTCTCTCACTCTCTCTCTCTCACTCTCTCTCTCTCGCTCGCTCTCTCTCTTCTCTCTCTCTCTCTCTCTCTCTCTCTCTCTCTCTCTCTCTCTCTTACTTAGTATCTCTCACTTCCTCCGATTCACTCATTCACTCACTAACTCATTCATTCACTCACATACTCACTGTCACTAACTCTTTCACTCATTCACTAACGTTCTCACTATCCATCTCTCTCACTTCCACTAACTCACCCTTTCACGCACTACCTCACTCTCTCCCCTCATCTCTCTCTCTCTCTCTCTCTCTCTCTCTCTCTCTCCTCTCCCTCAAAAACATATTGTTTCATATGGTTCCTTTAAAATTCTTACTCAGTTTTTCCAGTTCGGAGAACTGAATTTCGCATTACGGAGAGAGCTCTATACCGAGTCCCAGCTCCGACCATAGCCGATCTACGAACCGGTTTTTGGGACTTGCAAGTAAGCAAAAGAAACTGAATCACTGATGAATGACAGCATGATGATCCTATAGCGAATACTTTTATAAGTCGTTTTATAAGTTTATTTACAC